ATGGTCGGGACATAGAAGGGGGTGCGCGGCTAAATAAGTTTGGCAACCACTGTCGTTGACAGTGAAGTAGGACTTGTATTGGAGACGTGTGAATGTATGTGTGAAAGGGTGAATGGCTGACTGCGTTGTAAAGTGAGTTTGGGGGTTCCAGGTCTCTAGAAGACACTATATCAAATTCAGGCTATTTAATCATATTCTTGTGATTGACTCATAGACATGAAGATGACTTGGAAGGAGGTGACAGAGCACGATGATGGTCCAACAACGGGGTCTTCACACACGAGTACAAAGCTGTATCTGTAAATGGGCGTCGCATCGGTTAGAGAAAGTTTTCAAACAGTGTTTGTTTCCTGTGTGGAAGTCCAGTGGAGCGTTGATGATGAGGAGTACAACCATTTTCAGAAGTCTGAAATCTTCCAAGTTGTTCTAAAACATCTCTGGTGTCAGATTAAAACCTTTACTTTCTTTATTCAGCAGAATCATCTGATGTCTCATCTGATGTCTTGATCTGATGTCTTGATCTGATGTCTCATCTGGTGTCTCATCTGATTAGGGTTGTCACGGTAACCGGTATAGCGGTAAACCCCGGTAAAAAAGTTGACAATAAAAATAACCGTCCAGTTTTTAAAAAACTAAATTATCTCGGTGGGTTTACCGTGGCCGCGGTTTCAGCGCGGTGACCCTTACCAGCCACCGTCGCTTCTGCTGAAGTTCCCGCGGCGCGCACACACTTTTTAGTTTGCAACGGCACCAAAACTTTGAAGCTGAAATAATGGCCGAAGGAGGAGACGGCAGCGCCCAGGACATCCATCAGCCCTCAAAGAAGACTAAATCGGAAGTATGGGCACATTTTGGATTTCTGAAAAATGCTGAGGGACAGTTAATAGAAGACGGCTATCCCGTTTGCAGAACGTGCAGGAAACAAGTGTCTGCAGAAGGCAGCAACACTTCGAATCTAATGGCACATCTGCGTGACCATCATCCGCGTCTCTACAGCCAGTGCAAGGTAAGCTAACATTAGCATTTTAGCTTTAATGCATGACGTGAGGACTTTTGGCTGAGGGAGAATGCAACGAGTCACTATATACTGCAGCCGCAGCGTCCTCTGCCAGCATTTAAACCGTGTCACGGACACCCTGTTGCTGGATGAAGCATCTTATTTGTTGATGATGAAGAGAAATATACAATTAGTTCCTTGTCATTGATTTGTTTACTTATTCAATGCCATTTATACTTGAACATTTGGATTTGATTACATAGTGTAGTAGTTATTTTAGTAAGTTGTTTAAAGTGGATATTTATTTTAAATACATATTTTTTTAAGGTTGACTTGTACAGCGCTCAAGTCAAGTGTGGACTGGAGTTTTAGATTTTCATTTTGATAATGAAGAAAACAAGTATATGAGAAAACAAGTGGTGTTTCTTTGATTTGTTTACATATTGTTTATGTTTCGAATGTTTGGATTTGTATCATTTAAACCTGCACTGACTACTGTAACATGTTCCAGAAAAAGAAGCTATTTGTTCCTTTACTTGTGAAAAGTTGCACTTTTGCTATGACTTTGTGTTATTTTAGGTTTAATAAACACTGTTAAACCTTTTCAGAACTATTTCAGTTTGTGTAGAACAGGACTATCAATGCTTTCTGAACATATGCAACACCGTTTAAAAAATACCGCGATAATACCGAAAACCGTGATAATTTTGGTCACAATAACCGTGAGGTTAAATTTTCATACCGTGACAACCCTACATCTGATGTCTTGATCTGATGTCTTATCTGATGTCTCATCTGATGTCTCATGGTCACCTAACGTAGAAACGAGACTGGCTTCATCTCCAGAGGAGACAAAACCATAGAGATGGACCGTGGAGACGAGGTCTACTCAATCCTCATCACGAGGTCATTTCTGTTTATCATGTCCACATTCATAAAACCTGCACTGGAGCATAAATAATACAACGCTCGTGTTCACAGGAGTGCAGCGGGACACTTGGCTTAGAGGACACGGTTCATGACTGAAGCGACCTGCAGCACCTGTTCCAGCTCTCACACTCACATAAGAGCAGCAAAGAGGAGACTAGAGGGTCCGTACAGTACGTCTGTCTCGGTAAAAAACACATTTTCTAGCTGATTAGTTTGCTGCTACAAATAGCTGCTTTTCTCGTTTGGTGGCCAAAGATGACTCGTAGATCCCAGAGCTTCCAAGAAGTTACGGTTCGTTGTCCGGAGTCCCGACATCAACGGACTTACGGTGATGATGAAATACATTCTGCCTCCCATTTAAATACACTTCTAACCGATATCTTGTTTTATTTTTACAGGTCAAGCTTTGCTGCAGAAACCGGTTTGGGGGCAGCAAAATAAAAACAAAACATTGTCTGTTTTTTCTGTTGGCTACGCTAACGCGGTTAGGTCTATTTAGGGGGGCTAGGAGATTGAAGAGAAGAAAGCTCTGGCCACAGCTGCTTGTGTGTTCTGGCCTGTATGGATCCTGTTGGGAGAACCGGGTTAAGGTGGAGTTTTTGTGCCAGTTGAATTATGGCGTAGCACGCAGGGTGGGCTGGGGAGGGAGACACGCTCCCCTAAGGGCCACATTTGGTGCACCGCCGCTAGGCGCGACTATCAGCTCAGGCAGAAGAGAGAATATCCCCGCGATAACCGACAACA